ACCATCCAAAGCCCTGTTATCCACTCACTATCCTCACCATCCAAGGCCCTGTTATCCACTCACTATCCTCACCATCCAAGGCCCTGTTATCCACTCACTATCCTCACCATCCAAGGCCCTGTTATCCACTCACTATCCTCACCATCCGAGCCCCTGTTATCCACCAGCACTATCACCGAGCCCCTCGTGGCACTATCCTAGTGTGCGGACAGCTATCCTGCCATCCCTCCACTCTCTGCTTTCCATTTTAATGACTCCGGTGACACCTCCATCTATTCTCATGGCTTGCCAAGCCCAGCTCCCCTTACCCCATACCCAGGCTCCATACCCCTTACCCATCCGTACCCCTTACCCATTCCCTTGATCCGTACCCCTTACCCATTCCCGTCATCCATACCCCTTACCCATTCCCGTCATCCATACCCCTTACCTCAGCCGCCTTTTCAACACCCGCAAAGTATAACATGTTGGAGAGATGTCTCAGATTGAGAAACACAAATGCTGATGGTCTGCCTAATAAAGAATAGTAGAAGGTGGAGACCTGGCGCTGCGCAGAGTAATCTTTCCAGCCCTTCACTGCCTATTCTTCCCCTGTTCTTTACCCCCCTTCCTTCTCCCCACATCCCCTATCTTTTCCCCCCCTCCCATTCTCCCCTTATTCTTCCCCTTACACACCCTCCATTCATCACCCCTCTCTCTCTATCCTCCCGTTTTACTCTCTTCTTTCCCACGTTTCTTCGCTCTCTTCTGCGTCTGGCTTCGGGCTCCAACTGACATTTCCATTAACATATATAGAAGGGGTAGCCGGCTGCACCCGGGTCTCTTCCCCCTCCCCTTATCCACCCTTTTCCCTTCTTTCCTCTCCCCTATTCTCTCAGGACACCAATTATTAAGAAACACTGAAACACTTATACAAATATATCTTTTAGAGTACCCGTATAACTAAAAACTCTAGGGAAAACATACCAAATATTTCACATTTGACTATAAAAATCGCTCGGGGGGTCTTTATAAATGCGAATATATCTTAAAGTATTTTATTTAGGCCGACCCCAAGTAGCCTATGTCCGTTCCTTACCCCAGACTACTCCCCCTGCTGAGCTGGGTGAGTCTAGCCATAGACATCGGCCTCCAACCACGGACAGACAGACAAGCAAACCAAAGAAACAAAGAAACAGATATTCCCTCTTACAGATAGAAATAAGGATAAAAAAAAATTGTATATAATAATAATAGCGGAGAGAGAGCTCACAGGAATGATAAAGAAGAAATAGGAAGATATCAAAGAAAAACTGTGATGTAGAAGGAGCAACACAAGGAATAGAGGAAGTAGGAAGTGAACAACATTGAGGAATTTATTATTTCTAAAATGAGTTTGGACGGTCGGGGATTGAACACCGACCTGCATGACGCGAGACCGTCGCTCTACCGTCCACCCCAAGTGGTTGGAACATTGAGGAAGCAAATGGACACATAGTCGTCATGTGAAAAAAAAAATAGAAAATAGTAGAATTGGTTATATTGAATTCTCTTTAAACATCAGGACAACATTCAGTAGAAAGAGCAAGCAAGTAAACGGGCCCAAGGCAAGTGATCCACGACAAAACACTAATCATCTAATCACTGACCGCGTCAACAAGGAAAAAAACAAGACTGCAAGGTAGTGGATAATCAATGATTGGCTCAGACCTGGAAGGGAACTATCAGGGGAATGGGTCAAGCCATTACGACTATATAGCACTGGGAAGGGGTCAGGATAAGGATTTGGGATGGGACGGAGAGAAAGGAATGGTGCCCAACCACTTGCGGACAGTCGGGGATTGAACGCCTCAGCCTGGAGTGTCGGCCTCCAAGAGCCAAACATGATATTCTTAACACACACAAGCATCACCGCCTTAACCATGATGTCCCTATAACCCAGTGTGTGTGTGTGTGTGTGTGTGTGTGTGTGTGTGTGTGTGTGTGTGTGTGTGTGTGTGTGTGTGTGTGTGTGGGTGTGTGTGTGTGTGTACTCACCTATTTGTGCTTGTGGGGGTTGAGCTTTGGCTCTTTGGTCCCGCCTCTCAACTGTCAATCAACTGGTGTACAGATTCCTGAGCCTACTGGGCTCTATCATATCTACATTTGAAACTGTGTATGGAGTCAGCCTCCACCACATCACTGCCTAATGCATTCCATCTGTTAACTACTCTGACACTGAAAAAGTTCTTTCTAACGTCTCTGTGGCTCATTTGGGTACTCAGTTTCCACCTGTGTCCCCTTGTTCGTGTCCCACCAGTGTTGAATAGTTTATCATTGTCTACCCAGTCGATTCCCCTGAGGATTTTATAGATTGTGATCATCTCTCCCCTTTACTCTTCTGTTTTCCAGGGACGTGAGGTTCAGCTCCTTCAGCCTTTCCTCGTAGTTCATGCCTCTCAGTTCCGGGACGAGCCTGGTGGCATACCTCTGAATCTTCTCTAACTTTGTCTTGTATTTAAAGCCAGTGGCTGTGTTTAACCAATGTCCATCATCAAACACTTAATGTCTTACTGTCTGGAGTGGAGTCAAACCTTCTATAGATTGTTAACATATATTACCATATATTACCATATATTACCATATATTAACATATATTAACATATATTAACATATATTACCATATATTAACATATATTACCATATATTACCACATATTACCATATATTACCACATATTAACATATATTAACATATATTACCATATATTAACATATATTACCATATATTACCACATATTACCATATATTACCACATATTACCATATATTAGCATATATTAACATATATTAACATATATTAATGACAAACACCATCATTGCTCGTGCTGGCCACTCAGGAGCTCAACATTCAACTGCTTTGTTGAATTTCCCTGAGGGCCAGTGGCCTCGACGAGGACAGGACGCCGGCGGCTTGTCAAAGGTTCCTCCCATTTGCCCTCGTTCGGGAAAGATCTCTCGCTGATTCACCCATATATATATATATATATATATATATATATATATATATATATATATATATATATATATATATATTATATATATATATAGATTATTTATATATATATATATATATATATATATATATATATATATATATATATATATATATATATATATATATATATATATATATATATATATATATACACAACGTATTAGTGAAAATTCATATATATTCACCTCAATAATGGTTAGAGCATAATAATGGCTAGATAGCAGCATAATAATGGCTAGATAGCAGCATAATAATGGCTAGATAGCAGCATATTAATGGCTAGATAGCAGCATAATAATGGCTCGATAGCAGCATAATAATAACCAGATAACAGCATAATAACTAGATAGCAGCATAATAATAACCAGATAACAGCATAATAATAACCAGATAACAGCATAATAATAACCAGATAACAGCATAATAATAACCAGATAACAGCATAATAATAACCAGATAACAGCATAATAATAACCAGATAACAGCATAATAATAACCAGATAACAGCATAATAATAACCAGATAACAGCATAATAACTAGATAGCAGCATAATAATAACCAGATAACAGCATAATAATAACCAGATAACAGCATAATAATAACCAGATAACAGCATAATAATAACCAGATAACAGCATAATAATAACCAGATAACAGCATAATAATAAGCAGATAACAGCATAATAATAAGCAAATAACAGCATAATAACTAGATAGCAGCATAATAACTAGATAGCAGCATAATAATAACTAGATAACAGCATAATAATTACCAGATAACAGCATAATAATAACCAGATAACAGCATAATAACTAGATAGCAGCATAATAATAACCAGATAACAGCATAATAATAACCAGATAACAGCATAATAATAACCAGATAACAGCATAATAATAACAACCAGATAACAGCATAATAATAACCAGATAACAGCATAATAATAACCAGATAACAGCATAATAACTAGATAACAGCATAATAATAACCAGATAACAGCATAACAACTAGATAGCAGCCCTATTCCACTTTAAACAGTTCATGAATGACTGAAATACTAACGATATAGGGAAAGGGGTGAGGAGAAGGGTGCGTGGGGGGGAAGGGTGCGTGGGGGGGGGGGGGGTTATACATAGTTATACAATGCATACATTGTAAAATATTTCCCCCGTGTACTTCCCCTCAAATTCACACCTTGCATTGTTCCCTTAACGAGGCGTGTCGTTACCACACAGCCTCGTTGGAATCGACTATTCTCTCTCTGTTTGAAAGACTTGGGCTCCATGTACTGAATGGCCTACCCCGTTCTGTTTGAAGGGATATTCCTGTTTGGAAACAGGAATAAACATATTCTTGTTTTGTATTTAAAGTAATAGCCTGTTTATGTTTGAATATAATTGACTGTTTCTGTTTGAATGTAATTGACTGTTTCTGTTTGAATGTAATTGACTGTTTCTGTTTGAATGTAATTGACTGTTTCTGTTTGAATGTAATAGTCGACCAATAGATATGTCCATGAAATATATTCGCCTCAGGTGAGGCACCTAATTACTGTACCATTAACCTAAACACGCCCCTGGTACCTAATTATTGTACCATTAACCTAAACACGCGCCTGGCACCTAATTACTGTACCATTAACCTAAACACGCCCCTGGTACCTAATTACTGTACCATTAACCTAAACACGCCCCTGGTACCTAATTATTGTACCATTAACCTAAACACGCGCCTGGCACCTAATTATTGTACCATTAACCTAAACACGCGCCTGGCACCTAATTACTGTACCAGTAACCTAAACAGTGCTGAGTTTAACCGGTTCAACTGGTGTGGCTTGGACATAAGTAACAGTGATTAAGACTGTACAGGAATGTGACTGTTGAACTGCCAATTCCGATGCATTGTTAAGGCTAATTATCATGAGTATGGATTAAACAACTAATTTTGATCATGGGATTATTGATCCGAGTAATACAGAATAA